GGGACCGAAGGAGATAACACGCCGAAATGAATGTTTGTTGATGCTTTTGATGGCAACGGCGCTAGGTGGGTAAGGCCGAGGATTGAGGCGAAGCTGGGGAGACAGAAGATGCAGAGGGAGATCCATATTCGAGAGCATATTGTCGAGAAGGTGCCGGGGAAGATGAATTTGAGGCGAGATTACTGCCGAAGGCTGTTAGGGGGAGGTTAGGGAGTAGAAATTGCAAGGCGAGTGTTTACTGAGTTTGTGGATGGTATGCGACAATAGATAGTGCAGAGATAGTGCAGTGGAGGAAAAGATATCTCCCGGGTAAGTGAAAGCTTGATAGTCCTCTTTGCTTCGTAGTTTTGAAGCTGTTCCGGTACTTCCATCCAGATCGCCACACGGGACGAACCCCTATGCCCGCACGAGGTTCGCACTGGCAGTAGTTGACTTTCGCTTCGAGCGTGTTGACTTTTCGCTTCCATTGTTGTTTTCATTCCCCAATAACATACGTACACCCTTCCTTCCCAATCCACACCTCGTGCACCCTACCCGCCTCGACATCAATCCTCTCGCCCACCCCAAACGTCTTCCTCTCAGGCTCACTATCTTTCGGGTACGTGATGGTAAGCTCGCCCTTGAGAATCAGATGCGTGGTCAGCCCGCGGTGAGAGTGAGGGCTGTAGTGGGAGTTCCTATGGCGACTCTCGTCAGCCGTGTGTGTATATGTATGTATTATATATAAATATATATATGTCTTGCTTGTATGGAGAGAAGCTAGGTAGGCTGTGCAATACGTACGGGCCATCGGTCCAGGTGAAGACGTGAGGGAAGCCCCACGATCGCACTTCTTGTTCCGAGTCATCTTGAGATCTGGCTGGCATCGTGGTGTTCTGGATAGCTGGAGTGTCGTTGTCTAGATGATGATGATGATGATGATGATGATGATGGTGGAGGGAAGATGTCTGATATCAGTCGCTTACATGTAAGTAAGTAGCTAGCTAGCTCATGGGGTAGTACAGTATGCTTAGAGATTGCCAGTGTAAACAAACGTAAAAAATATTATATCATGCAAGGCCGTCTTGATCTTCTAATTCCGTATTACACTTGCGTATTGTGCTGTCTCTGTCATATTTCCATCTTATCCTTGGATCCATAATCGAAATGGGATTTCACGCAGTGTTGAAGAAACATTCATTCCATTTTGCGTTCCATCTCATCTCATCCCACCATTCCAGCCCCCGACGCGCTATCCTCCCTCCTCTCAACGCCCACTAAGCAACAACACCAGAAACCAGGATCAACACATCACCCATCCACTCCCCCACTCCCTCCGCTCTGCCAACTCAACCCAAACCAACTCATCATGAGTCCGGTTGGGTCGCTGGCCGAGGACAAACTTTCAAATGTGGACCGACGCTGTGGCATTTAGAGTCAGTCCGATGCCACGATGCCCCTCCTCTCTCCCTCCGGCAACCAGTTCTCCCTGCACAAACTCGTCGCCATGTCCACCATCATGTCGCCCACCCACCGAAGCCACTTCCGCTCTCTGGTCCAAGCTGGAGGGGGCGAGTCGAGGTCCGAAGTCCCGGCACATCAGCTATACCTATCTCACGGCATACAGGCACATCTGGGTCGGGAATACGATTCTCTGCGCGGCACAGAGCCTACGCTCGCGAGAGCCAAGTTTGAGGCATGGCTGGCGGCGGTACAGGGGGAGACGACAATCGCGCTGGATGCGGAGAATTACAAGTTCGAGCAGTTCCTGGAAACCGTATACTACCATCGCGGGTTCGAAGCGATCAAGGAAGTCAATGGCGCCGAGAAGGACTTGACGAAGCCCCTCAGTAATTACTTCATAAGTAGCAGTCACAACACATATCTGTCGGGGAACCAGCTTATGTCGAAGAGTACCACTGATGCCTACAAGAATGTGTGTTACTGATACTTTGACCAAGTCTGGACACTAGCTAATAAGACAGGTGCTCATTCGTGGATGCCGTTGCATAGAAATAGATGTCCATAATGGAGAAGCCCCCGACAGTAAATCCAGCGAGAACCTGTCGCTAACATCCTCGAACTCCCTCCAATCTCCTCCCAACAGCGCCGAGCAAAAACACCAGAGACACGCTTCCGGCAGTACCCTGTCAAGTCGAGCCGCTGCTGCGCTTTTGAAGGCTGACGAGAAGTACGAGGCTGCAAAGAAGAAATTGGCAGAAAAAACTGGTATCGGACGGGACCATGCTACACAGGATGAGCGAGGGCGCAAGATCACGTCGAGCTCCCTAGAGGTTGGGGACGCGCTTTCGAGGGCGAGCTCGGTGCGATCTACGAAAGATGGTGAACCGCTAGTCCTCCACGGGTGGACACTCACAGCCCCTATCGGATTCAGGGCAGTCTGTAAGTCGATCCGGGAAGCAGCTTTTGTGACGAGCAAGCTTCCTTTGATTGTGAGCTTGGAGGTGCACGCAGATCTTGATCAGCAGGAGATTATGGTGGATATCATGAAGGAGGAATGGAATGGGTTGCTGGTCGATGTACCACACGAAGGGTGCGATCCCGAGGAACGGCTGCCCAGACTCGAGGAATTGATGGGGAAGATCCTGGTTAAGGTCAAGAAAGCAGTGGCAGATAAGCAGGAGCCGTTTCCAGCCGGCACACTCGCCCCAGTGCCATCGAAAACCGATTCCGACTCGATATCGGGCTCTGAGGACGAGCGAGCCAACGCGAAGAAGAAGGTCAAGATCTGTGAAAATCTCAGCAATCTGGGAATCTACACTCACAGTGAGCACTTCGTCGGTTTCGAAACGAAGTCCGCAACGCGGCCGTCGCACATCTACTCCATCGGAGAAAGTCAGATCCAAGATCTGCACGAAACAAGACAACAAGAGATGTTCACGCACAACCGCAACTTCTTTATGCGTGCCTACCCAGGCGGTTTCCGCATCGACTCCTCCAATGTCGACCCCTCGGAGTTATGGCGCAAGGGCGTGCAAATGGTCGCCCTGAACTGGCAAAACCTCGATGAGGGCATGATGCTCAACGAAGGCATGTTCGCTGGTGAGCACGGCTGGGTGTTGAAACCGCCTGGCTATCGCAACGATGCCACCGAACCCATCGAATATAAATCTTTGGATTTGACAATCACCGTGCTGGCTGGCCAGCACATCCCCATCCCAGAAGACCAGAGTGAAAAGAACTTCCACCCGTATGTGAAGTGCGAGCTGCACGTCGAGAAGGATCAGGGGGGCTCTGAGCCTCTGCCCTCCGAAGACAGGAAGCGCAAGACGGGGTACCAGAAGGGTGACCATCCGGATTTCGGAGAGGGAGGGTGTGTGCTGCAGTTCCCCACTATCCGGAAGGTAGTGGAGGAGCTGAGCTTCGTCAGGTAAGTCGCGTTACACCGCATTCTCTCCAATCCTACTCCTGCGATCTCGATCATCGGCCCGACTTCCGTAATTGATGTCGTCGTGTTGTTGTTATTCCTGCTGCAAAGATAAAGTCAAAAGCCTTTTCCACACCGCCAGAACGTTCCGGGAACTTGGTAGCCTCTCGGGTGGACGACATTTCACGGTCCTTTGCTTTTTCCTTTCCCCTAGTCCTACCGCTGCGCAACGGGCCGTGGCATCAAAAACGGAGGCTCGCACTTTTCTCCGGCTTGCGATCATCTTACACCCGGATCCTAGGGCTTTGAAGCGGCGCCCCTACTTCGCTCCTTGCATCCGGCCAGCGCGAGAAAAGGTTCTCACCAGGTGGTGCAACATCACGGATCGTGCCCAGACATGGCTTGACCTACGAACGAACTTCAAAGCGTCACAGATGATCGAGTGAGCTAACATCTTCCACCACAGGTTCAAAATCGAGGACGCCCGCTATGGGCGCGATGACCTAGCGGCTTGGGCCTGCATCCGCCTCGATCGGCTGCAGCAGGGGTACCGCTTCGTGTACCTACTTGATGCCAAGGGGCAGGCGACGCCGGGGCTGCTATTGCTGAAGATCGAGAAGAGGGTTGTGCCTTGTGAGATGGGCAAGGGGGAAGTGGTGGAGAAAGGGAACATGAAGGCGGTCGAGAGGCTCGAGGCCAAGCTAGAGGCGAATTTGGAGCGGCTGGAAGGGAAGCAGGACCTCAATGTCGTGCCGGGGGTCGTGGGGAGAGCAGAGGTCGAGCCAGAGGTCCAAGCGAAAACGGAAGTAAAGCCTGAACCAAATGTGGATGCAACAGCCTCAACAATTTTTGATGCCAAGCCTGCAACAGCTGCGAAAGCAGCGCCAGAAGCCACAGACAGGGTAGATGCCATTCCGGAGGCTGTATCAGAGGGCGACAAGACGAAGAATTTAGTATCTGGCGCGGGGCCAGTAGAGCCCATACGGGAGGCCTCACCGGCCGCGGCCAAGGTGGAAGAAGAAGCAAAGTCGGAATCCAAGCCAGTGGTCGAACCCCCTCCGGCTGCTACCGAGACGGAGACGAAGGTGGAAGCTTCGCTAGAGACGAAATTGGAAGAAGGAAAGCGAGAAAAGGGTGGAGTTTAGTTAGACCTTGATCGAGGCGAGGCCTTGCGGATGGGTGACTCTTGAGTGGCGACAGTGTGGCGACGCATGATGCAGTTACGGAAATGTTATGAGGAATGAATGAATGTTACGAGGAATGAATGATACGAAAATGGAGACGGAAATGGAAAAGGATGTTGAGATGGCAATGGAACTGGAAATGGAGACGCGATTGATCGATACCCCGGGCGCCTATTCGCATTAGTTTCGCGCATAATTCATTTTTATTTTTTTTATTTTTTCTATTCCTTTCTTCTGATGGGATCTCGAGGAGGTTATTAGGCTGCGATGCATGCATGCATGCCTCGGATCGGATCGCGGGAAGTCAATGCAATGGAAAAAAGGGCTCTCAATATGAGATGAGGTAGGTACCTAGGTACATACATATCCAAAGTAAAAAAAAAAATTCAAATTCAAAGTAAAGGACATCTCATTTTTTCTTTGATTCTATCACATCACATCACCGCAATAGCATGTGATATCTGTACATGTGGGTATACCGGTACCGGTATCCCAGCCCTTCCTCAGCAAGCATACACAATACACACACATAGGATCTGATTACAATTACGATTACGATTACGATTAAGAAGAAAGAAGAAAGAAGAAAGAAGGAAAAAGGAAAAAAGGAAAAAAGGTTAAGAGGGGTGGGTATGCACGTGTACGGTAGGTTATGGGGATGGGATGGGATGAGAAGGTTGCTTTGGGGGGGTTTTTTTTTTACGTTATGATAGGTATGTATGTAATAGTGTGTGTGTGTGTGGGTGTGGGTGTGGTGTACATAGATACATAGATAGCGTTTCTCCCGACCCCCCCCCCCCCCAAAAAACCCTAAAAATAAAAAAATAAATATATATATATATATATATATATATTTCGCTCCTGGTTGTCGTTATTACTTACTCACTCACTCGCTCGCTTCTCTTTTGTTGATGATGATGATGATGATACCTAAGCGGAAGAGAAAAAGGAAAGAAGAATAGAAGAGCAGAACAGAGTTTAGAAGTAGAAGGGAAAAGAGGAGAAGAAAAAGGAAGAAAAGAAGAAGAAGAAGAAGAAGAAAAAGGAAAGGAAGAAGAAGAAGAACAAGAACAAAACAAGAAGAAAGAAGAAAACCACGTCCTCGCCAATTCCACTTTCTACGTACCGGTACTCCTTTGGAATCAATAAACCTCCCCCCTCCACCCCCACCTCTCTCATCGACCTTTTTCGTATAGGTACCGTACTGTACGTACCTACGTACCATCTAACCACCCCCCCCCCCCCCCGCCCTGCCTGCCCCCTTTGCCCCCTTTGCCCCCCCCCCCCGTTAGTGAGTGCACAGGCGAGACAAGACAGACACGGGCTCAAAGGTTCTCTTCGAGGCTGAATGAATGAGATGAAATGAATCCTTATACTTATACGTAGTACTACCGGTACGTTATACTAAATACTACGTAGATTAATCGGTTCAAGACCTGGTAAGATAAGATAAGATAGATAAGATGCCTGGCAAGATTATACTTTCGACGTGTACTACTACTACTACTACTACTTCTACTACTACTGTATGCATCGGGGGAGGGAAAGGGGGGGGGGGTTAAAGAGGAGTGATTAATACCCCAACGGTAACGCAAAGCCCAAGAGACGAACGAGCCGACGAC